GATGCGCAAAAAAAAACAAGGCATGAGATACTAGAGAGAGATAGTCTAAAAAGGACAAATCAGAGATTTGACTAAGTAGCAGAAATATTCAACATTGTAAGGGAGTCAATGAAACAAGTACTACTGTGAGCAGCAGATCTACTGAAGCGTGATTTCTGGTGGCTTTTGTCTCATGAATGAATTCACTGGCATCAAGGTGTGAACTCCAGCCGAAGGTTTTCCATGAGATACTAGAGAGAGATAGTCTAAAAAGGACAAATCAGAGATTTGACTAAGTAGCAGAAATATTCAACATTGTAAGGGAGTCAATGAAACAAGTACTACTGTGAGCAGCAGATCTACTGAAGCGTGATTTCTGGTGGCTTTTGTCTCATGAATGAATTCACTGGCATCAAGGTGTGAACTCCAGCCGAAGGTTTTCCATGGTTACAATCTTTTCCTGGGACTTGATAAATAGGAGCTTACCCTGTACTTTTTACTGAAGGCATTCTGTCAGGCCATTAATTTCCACATAATATTGTAGAACTGCTATATCTTAGGGACCTTATCTTTTACAGTCAGGTTTTGTTGGCCAATCCACACTGGGCAACTGGTTCAAAAGCTGTGGGGTGTGGGCAAAGAGATACCATAGACAACTATGCCTGAATGTAAACATGTGTGTATAAAAGTGCATACGTGTGACCAAATGAGAATGAAATAGAGGTGACAGAAAAAACAATTAAGAAACTATAGAACGATTGACTTGTGGTGCACTGCCAAAGGCAGCAAAGGGCACTACATATTCAAAAGCAGTTCAAAGGAATTGAATGCAGAGCCATTGCCTAATGTCCACCTGATGTTTCCATGCTTCAGTTTCAGCCTGTTACTTCTTGTCCTGTCTTTCTTTTCCTGGCTTGGAGTATAGATGATAGCATGTCCCCATTCCTTTAGCAGCAGCCTTTCATGCTTGTAGTCTCATGACAAGTGAAGTCTCTGTTTGCTGTCACATTAAGACAAACCTAATCTTTCCATGGATCCCTCCACCTCTAAGAACTCTGGAATATGTACTGTCATCTATTGCATTCCTGTCTCTATTTCACGGTGACTGAAGCGCTGCAGTGTGAGATATAATTAAAGCAAATGTGATGTTTATAGAGTAACTGACGAAATTTTTGCAGCTATCGAAAAGCTTGTCTGGTTCATTTTATTTTAAATCTCATTTTCACAAAATGATTTCTTCTAATCTTCACCATCTGCATAACAAGTGTAATCAACAAGCTGAAATTAAAATATCTGCAACCTCTGCCCTTCAAATCCATCACAAATTAAACCTGGAAAGAATGTTTTCAGTGGGGAGAAAACATCCAAAGAAATGATTTTTATTAGTCTCTCCTCACTAAAGCAAAATATGTGCCTTTACTTAAAACAATACAAATATATGTTATTAAGCAACCCTTTTTGGTTAAATTTTGTCTTCAGCAGATCTCAAAGTAAATGCTGATTTAGAAACCTCAGACTTTTTGCCAGATGGCAGTGGAACAGGCAACTTTCACAAACAGCAAATCAGCCGAGTGTCTAAGATATTCACGGAAAATCTGAAACCCATTCTGTGCCTATAGTGCCTCAGTGACCCTTCAGAGCTCATAGGGACTGGCCACAGAACATGGGTAGGAGCACCTACATTATTCTACAGCCTTTCCCTGCACTGTTGCTTTCTTCCTTTAGCAGTTGTCAAGAAAATGGTAGTTAACTTTTTGAGATAAATCCATCCTGAATGCAGAGAGTTTTTGGAAATTCCACCCTAAACATTTCCTACCTTTGTCATTGGCATTTGCAAAGTGCAGTGACAGGTGATGGCACTGACTCTTTGCCTAGTTCTGTGCTCCCTAGGAAGTGCTTTTGTAAAGTACAGGCTTTTCCGTTTTCTGGATCAGGAGGTTGCTGGTAAATACCCTCCCTGTATCTGTATTTGAGTAATATTCTCTATGAGAAAAAGAATCAATGCAAATGGTAATCCTTCAAAACAGCTGAGACAGCACTGTGTGCCAGAGGACCGGAAAGATGGGAATGAACATTCTCTGATTTACCAGCAAGGTCCATCCCTCCAGTGCAAGTACTTAATCTGCTGACAAGGAGATAAGGGACTTTGTACAGCTTAGAGACCAACCTAACATCACAAATATGATGCAAACAAGGATGCCTTTGGAGGTAATTATAATGCAATGTAACGAATATCTCCTCTGCCTCCAGTTCTCTGTGTACAGTTGTAAAGGAAGCTGCAAGCTCTTGCATATCAGTACGTGCAGAAAAGAAATGCTGTCTTGGAGCATAAAAACTCTTGCTCATTTTCTCTGGAATTTTCATCTCCAAAATTGTCAAATAATAGGATCAGATCCAGTTTTCTCCTAATCAAAATCTACTTGTGCTCAATTGCCTACTTCATTTACTTCTGAACCATAACCATTAGATAGAACCAGTAAGCATAACAAGAAACCAATTGAAGGATGTTTGCTTTCCATCTTCAGACTCATCATTTGTGAATTGATGATAATTCTTCATGACATATGAAAGGTTCTCCTTTGGTGTGAAGTTACAAACCCTGCATTGTGCAGGCTTACTCCAGGCAAGAACCAGCTATGAGAAATATCACTGATTAAAACATGCACATTTTGTTTCCCAGTGATAACTTTCTTCTGATAACATTTTGAAAGCTTAATGAACTGTAGTACTTCTTAGGCTTGCAACTAGCAGAGACTTAGAAACAGGAATTAAATACATTTCTGCTGAAAAGCCTAGATCAGGACTGAATAAGAAAAATTAAGGAATTTACTAACTCCAAGTGCAGTTTCTTCTATGTGAATCATTGTGACAGCATTGCTCAGCTGAAGTACACAGGAAGTTTGATACCAGGTCAACTTTTATCAGAAGAAGCAAAGTCCAGTTCATAAAAATATCCTTTTATCTTCACTGACATGCCTGTTGGGATTTAACGCCATCCCACTACTAAGCACCACACAGCTGTTTGCTGAAAAAAACTCATGGGTTGAGCTAAAACAAAAGCTGTGTGCACAAACAAAGCAGAACAAGGAATTAATCCACCACTTCCATGGACAGGCAGGTGTTCAGGCATCCCCAGGACAGCAGGGCTCCATCACACGTAACAATGACTTTTTAAACTTAGGAAGTCAGTGCCATCACAAAGACAACTGTTTCCCCTCTTCCTTCTTCTTCCAGCTGTACATGCTAAGCATGATGTATGGTATGGAACATTCCTCTGGCCTGTTGAGGTCAGCTGTCCCAGCTCCCTCCCAGCTTCTTGTGCTCCTCCTCACTGGAGAGCATGGCAACCTGGAGTCCTCGACTTAGAGCAGGCACTACTTAGCAGTAACTAAACCATCAGAGTGCTATCAACATTATTCTCATACTAAATCCAAAACACAGCACTGTACTAGCTACTAACAGGAAAATTAACTCAATCCCAGCTGGAACCAGGACAATGTCCATGGCCATGTAAGTATTAGTGACATTAATCAGATTTTTGCAGATGTAACCTAGTTTTCGGCTGGGAGACTGTCTCACTTCTTTCCTATCCTGAGCTATTGACAGTGAGTGGGCTAAGCAGCAGGTGGGCATGAGGAGAAAGCATATGTTCCTCCATTTCTGCAAGTTTTTTCCCCTCATATTTTCTGTACTTCCCTATCACTGATCTGTGTAGTGAATTTTCACTCCTCCCATACTAAACAGAAGATGGGGCCTGTGGTCTAGAGGGAACTTAAATAGCGATAAAGTCATGTGAAAGTTTATATATCTGAAAGGCAAGGTTGTAGGAAGGAGTATATTTTATAGGAATAATTCATATAGCTGGGAAAAAGCAGATGAGCTTTTGGGCACACAAACTCTTCTTCAGTTCTGTGGAAGGTGTGCACACACTTTGTTGAATAATGTCAGTTTCTATCTACTGAAGTAGTGCTCACCATCCATGGTTAACTTAAACTTGCCTTCAGCAAGGAATGTGAACTCTTTTGAAAAACCCTGAATAAAACTGAGCAGAGTTCTATGGAAATGACTTTTCTCTTTAAAGTCTCTGAAGGCAGGTACAAGGTGCAGATTGCAGCATGCTGAGCAGTCTTTATGCACATGGTATATGTGGTTTGTGTATACTCTGCCTTTTACCTCTTACAGTCCTAAGTATGGCTTAGTTTTCACTTCATGGAGCAACTCTGGAACGTAGAGATTGCTTCAAACAGCAGATTTCTCCACTGGGATTATTAGGAGAATGCCAATTCTAGCTGGAGGTTAACAGCATTGTCATTGATCCATGTTAGGACTGTATTAAGGAGCTGCAGCATTTCACAATGGCCATGAGACACTTATCAGGTGATAAGCACTAGCAGCTACAGACCTGGGCCAAATTCAAGCGAACAATCGAGATGTGAAAAGCCATGTATCGTGCTCAGTGAGCCAGTCTGTTGTCTGAAACTGTGAACCTAGTGATCCAGGACTAAATTAAATAGAAACAGTTCAATGAATGTCCAATTTTACTCAGTCATCCAAATATATTATGATATTACAGCACTATGGAGAGATATACTGTGGCTGAGATAATTATGACTGTTAATTTCCAGCCTCAGTGCTAAAGGACATTCCTCAGGAAATTATTATAAAGATGGAGGGAAGCATTATTTGAAAGACAATTTTATTTAACTCCAGACTGAAAGTCAAAGGAATTTATGAGGTTTGTAACTGTATGATGTTATTTCTATAAAATGTGTTTGTTTCCATAAACAGGCGCAAAATATATTCACAGAGCAGTGTCAAAGAGATGAAAATCTGTGTTCTTCTTTTCACACAAAACAGAACAGCATAACAGTGTGATGAAGATCTGGGTGGCTTTCTGCTCAATTTTACTTCTTCCTCTTAAATGTCTGATGGCACACCTGGTCTTCACATGTCAGTTCCTACAGTATCAAAACAGGGAGTAAGCATACAGTGCTAGAAGTATTTTGCATACACAGCAGATCCCACCAGAAATTACAGAGCCACTGCATTAAAAACTTATGAAAAAGAGAACAGAAAGAATAGTGTGTGATATGTAACCAAACAGCAGGCATGCACCTCATGGTGCAGGAATTCATTTTTTGACACTTGAATTGAGTTCTAAGAAGAATAAACACAGAAAATGCATTAAAACTGTGCTTTAATGCAAGGCATTTTCATGCTCTGTTATTAAAATGACATACTGTAATAGTTTATAATTCACATGTTACCTCATAATTCATGAGCAGCAATGAAACAAGAAAATAAAAAGAAGAAAAAGAGAGGAATGGTTTAAAAAGATGAGGACATTTGCTTCAGAGCTGTCCCCAACCATTGCTCAGGGACGAGAACAATGCTGTGTTCCAGCTGACCCCTGACAGGTTGGCACACCTGCACATTACAGAGCAGTCAGTTTGGTTAGCCAGAATTCCAGTGCCAAACAGTACTTTGAAGGGAGCTAAAGCTGGTATTTTTGGCCAGCAATGAGTCAAAGATGCAATGCAGTCGCTGAAGACTGTTGTAAGGATCTACTTGTCCTCTCTGTTTGCACCAGTCTTAGCCTGAGTCCTGGTGCCAGTGTGTAGAACATTTGTTAGGTCAGCTTTGGAATATGTGGTAAAACAGCCCTGAAAAGTGTACTGGGCAATTAACTTTTAGTTAGGTGGCAGATAGTGTTTTTTAATTCCTAGCTTTGACCTTTCAAGCATACAGACATGAGCCACTGTGGCTGTCCACACTATCTGTAAACTTGTGAAGGAGCAGATGTACAGATGCAAAGCATGAGACAGAACAATAAGCTCTCCTCCAGAATCTTTCTCCACCCACTTATTGTGCCATCCAATGCACATCATGCCCATTTCTTGATTGCTCTCCCAAGAAACTTGGGAATCATTATGTGAAATGTTTGAAAAATGAGTGGATGTGGAACTCTGTGATTTGGTTCAGTGGACATGGTGGTATTTGGTCAAAGATTGAACTTAATGATCTTGGAGTACTTTCCAACCTTAATGATTCTATGATACTGTTACTTTGAAATCTTTCTGGGCTTCACTGACTGCTTATTTCCTGCACAGGCTCTTCTGGCCTCTCTTGGACTCACCTCATTTGCCGCTGGGCTCAGCTTACTACCTCAGATGTATGAATATATTGAATATTATACATTTGAATACAATAGAAAATTGTACTAGCAAAAAATAATTGCAGTATAGGTTGTTTGTGGGATCCTCTTGAGAATCCCCTCTTAAAGGGGTTTCTGATCTGTATTACAGCACAGTGTGCAAAAATTTCATAGTGCTTCTTTCAGAACAAAAAATAATCTTTTTCTTGCAATCTGTCTGGTTGGATATTTTTTTGTTATACTTTATTTTTTTTTCTACCAGTGATTACATAAGAATGAGAATATGTTAGAGGTGCAATGTAACAGGAAGGGTTAATAGCTGGAGGGCAGTGGACTGGAGCAAAAAAACCACTGCAGGGTTGTGACTTAATTGGGAGCAGGTGGAAAGAAATTGAGCATTCCTGAGTTGAAGCAGGGGGAGAATTTCCTTAGAGTTCAGAGATCAGAACTGTCTAAATAGAGACCTTTCTAACTAGAAAAAGTAATGAATCCTTTGAAATGGAAAACCCAAGGCTGTGTTGCAGCCTCAGTTATGTGATGTGTATCTGTGCAGCAGCCCTTACCAGGTGCAGGACATCTCCTTCAATCCAGTGCTTCCAGCCCCTGTTGTTCTTTTCACCTTTCTGAACACACACCAGTTTGTCACCATCCCAGGTCACTAGTGTCTGCATGAATCAGACAATTAACTCAGATACGGTAACGAGAAGTTTATGAATACATGCCAGTAAGTTCAATCCAACAGTGAGAATATACAATTACAGTTGCTTTCTACCATTCCCCATCTTCCTCCTAAAAACCCCAAATGCATTCAAGATGACAAGTGTTTTGATGGGAAGCTTTTGTCGTGCTTTGTTGTAATTTCCATGTGTTTTCTCACATACATGAGCACCAAGTGCTCAGATTAACCAGTGAGTTGCTGAGAGGGTTATCATACACTTGTGCAATGTGTGCAAATTGTATTTTTTATTCTTGTTTATATCCATTAATAAAAGATTTTAGGGTTTCATGAGACCTGGGGGCTTATGTCAACTAGTGCAGTGCTAGCACCTGTTCTAGCTCTGCATAAAATAACAAGAGGAAGTGTATATTAATATCATCTCACACAATAAATTTATTTATATATTTTCATGCACTTTCACAAAGACATTTAAAGAGATATGATCATAAGCTGAACAATGTGCTCTAGCTGATCCTGCTGTAGCAGAGGGGAGCACTGGATTATGTGATCTCAAGAGGTCCCTCCCACCACCAACCATTCCATGATATGGTGTGATCAGAGTCTGTCACTAACAGGCAGGGTACTGGGTGTGCTGATTCTTGCCCAGCAGCAGGATAACCTTGTCAGTAAGGAAAAGTTCTCTTTACAGCCTAAATTCTCAACTACCTACAGGTACACTAGGGAACATTCACAGCAACTTTGATTGAATTGTTCTAGATTTGAACCATTTTGGGACATATTTAACCCTGTATCAGACAAATCCTCATTAGAGACCAGTTGCAGCCTGTGAAAAGTTCAGTTATTAAAAAGTTCCAAGAGTACTGGGAGCTTAATTCACTTTCTAGTTCAGCACGGGATGATTTCTTTCTCTTATGAAGGAACTTTCTATTAATAACAAGACAAAACTCATTCCATTTCAGTTAACTCCTTTCTTATTTACGGAATTTTCAAGCTACATGCTCCTTAAATTATCCATGCCCTCTTTACATTAAAATGTTGCCTAGCAATTTTATTACCTTCATCTAACTTTAATGTATTTGAGGCATTGTTTTGTTAATAAAATAACCAGAAAATTCTTTTAGAGCAGTCCAGAGAGTAATGGCATGACATGCTTCCTCTTTTCTCCTCCTCTCATTAGAAACAAATAATATAATTTGTTTAGAAAACAATATTAGGCAAAAATAATTAAAACAGGTAAGGTTATAAATGTACAAACTGTGTTTCTTTCCTTCCTTCCTTCCAAATAATTGATAGTGAATGGAAGAGTCTGCAAGTGAAAAATTTTGCAGAGAAAGGCAATAACTTTGAGAGTGGTGAAGAGAACTAGAGGAGCATTAGTCGATGGATTTAAGGAGTGATGCAACTAATGAATCCTTAGATCCTTAGTAATGCCTTCAACTGATCTAAAGAGATGTGGAGCAATGTTTTAAAACACAAACTTTGTCACAGGACTATATGCCACCCAGAGCTCACTGGAGAAAGAGCTACAAAGAAAATTTAGAAACAGGATATTCAGGATAGTGGGGAAAAAATGGGTCTTATTATTTGATGGCTTGCAGTGCTGTGAATCACTATACATTTGGAAGAAGTCATAGGAATTACACTGCACAAAGTCAATTTGAGAATGAAGAGTGAGCCATGGTGAACAAACCATGTCTTGTGTTAAATTGGTGCCACTCCAGTGAAGAATGTTGTGAGTTCAAAGGTAAACATGTTCTTTATGATGCCAATTTCCTGTGGCAATTGCCAAAACAAAACTTGTCTTGTTGAGAGTGATCTTTGATCTCAGCTACTTGGAGTTTGGAACTGAGATCTGAGTGGAAGAATGCAACTGTGGTAACTGTCAAAAGAGCTGGTACAGGTAGAGCCAGTGAATGATGACAAAAGGTGGTGCAGGGTTAGTGACACCAAAGGGCACATCTATTGGAAGTTCAAACATACTGTCCTTTCTACCCTTGAAAGTCTTGCTTAAGTATTTTAGGGAGGAGAAGAGAGTAAACCAGAAGCAGTATTGATACAGAAACATGAAGCTGAATTCACAAAGTGAATTAGTGCTCATGTTTTCTTTTCTTCCCTGACCCCTCTGATACAGTCCTGTTCGAATGCCTCACAGGAACCCACTTGCTGACCCTTCCTGCCTTAGGAGGTAGGACATGGGCTAACACACACCACGGCTCTTGGTCCAGGCATTACTTGTCTCACTGAAAGGTGTCTGAACATATGCCCACAGACTCCCAGGGGAATTCTGAGCTCAGGTTACTCCTGTGATGCCAAAGGTATTGAAGCACGCACTGCTGGGCCTCCTTACCCATGTGCCACTGCCAGGAGTCCTGCACCTATGTCAGTAGCAGCTTTGGCTCACATTTCTTCCTTGCCCCTTCCTGAAGCTCCCTTAAGGTTAATAGCTAAGTGCAGGTTTATTTTTAACAGTGTCCAGCTCTTAAACTGTCCAACTGAGGCTGTTCAGACTCACATTGAAACTACAGTGTGAACGTAGCCATTCTGACCTGAAAATATTGACCCAGAAACAGTCCTAAACTCACAAGGATGAATTTAAGGTTTCATTAAGGAGGGTACATAGATAAAAGTGGAGTTTTTCTACTTTTTAAATACTTAAAGATATATCACAGTAAAGCTGGAAAATCCCCTACTAGAAAAACATGTAATTAATGATTGTCCTCACATATCTGAGTAACCATCTGATTTGCATCTCTAATAAATGCTCATAGCATTTTCTTTCCTGCTTGTGGCAGGAAAGAAAACTGTCTCAAGATGCAAATTATTTCTGCTTTATAAAAATCCTCTGATGTCTGTAAAATATTGGGGTTAATTTAATGTATTCAGCTGATTTTTGAAACTGCTCACTCATTTTTAAAAGTGTAAACAGATATCAGGTACCAGATCTTTACCTTTACCACTCTGTTGTCCAGTCCTTTGGTGTGTTCTTCAAACTCCACTCCCACAGTGTAATCCAGATCATAGTTTCTGAAAGTGCTGAGTGTTTTTGTTTTAAAACTATCTCCGTTTTGAACAATCTCTTTTGTCTGTTTCAAATGTTTTGCAATCTTGCGAGTTGCAAAATCAATACCTGTCAAAAAACAGAAAAGAAAATATCACAATGAAAATTCCAGTGTTTTATACAAAAAAACCACCAAACCCCAACCCACAGCACTTATATTTGCACATAAAAAAAGAAAAAAAAAATAATGTGGAATATAGTTCCAAAAATGGGGCTTCAACCTGGAACATTTTGTAGAGAAAAAAATAATTTCAAACAAAAATCATCTTGTGTTTGCAAATACAGTTTCAATTTGCATATCTTCCACTGATTATAGATTTATTCATTGACAGGATATCTGTGTTGTGAGCAGAGCTACAACATACAACCAACTGTGAATGGATGCTAGTGTGTTAAATCACCCTAATTTCTTTTTTTTTTTTTTTTGAAGATGTGGAACAACAAGGGTTGTTAGGACTGACATTGCCTTCTTGGCCTCACTCACACATGAAGCTGTGGGATGCAGGAGTGCTAGTTCCATCTTATGCCTGGGAGCCATTCCCTTTCCTAGGCATGCAGTGTGATTCATGGAGCTCTTGGGCACATGAGGGTACTGGGCTATGTCCTGAAGGTCACAAATATTGGCCACCCCTAAAGAAGGATCTCAGAAAATATTCCTTTTCAGAAACTAAGGATGTTAGAATGAGTATGTAATCAAGAGAGAATGAGTATTTAATCAAGGGGATTTGGGCATGTTACTTTTATGATGAACCTATAGTCTGTGGGAGTATAGGAGAAGATAATTAATTAATTCAAAGCAATGAAAATGATACCAACGAAACAAAAGAATCAAATAAAACCTGACTTATCCATTATTATTACGACAGCAGACACAGAAATAAATTGCAGCTTGAAAGGAGACAAATTCAAAGTCAAAAGTCAAAAAACCTACCCATGTAAAGAATTTGACAGTTCCTGTTTAATATTCTATCAACATGTTGTGCAGTACTGATCTCCTTAACATCCTTATTTTGTTCCTGATGAGGACTAACATTACAATGTACACAGCTACTTGCAACTGAATGCATTGAAAGTTACCAAATGGAGAATATATATTACCAGGATGACAGTTTGCCCCAGACAATCCACCTGATGCCAGCAGCATTCGCATCTGCAATAAATATTTCTGACCAGCTGGCAGTGAATCTTAGTGTGGTGCTATATGCAAATGAAATAATCTCACATGCTTCTGCCAGAGATTGAAAAATGGGGTTGGTTTGCTAGCCATCCTTTAGTGGCTTCACGTGTGAGTTAATCACTGTCAGCTCAGCAGTGCCACAGACTAATGCAGCCCTTTTTCTTTGGGAGATTCATTGTACTACTTGTGAAGTACTAATCGAGTTGAGTGAGAGGATTGGCTTGCAAAAAAATGTGACTTTTTAACACAGGGAATAATGTTCTTGTTCAGTATTTATATTCAAGACTTCTTGGGTATATTTTATCTGCTATGGTGAATTAAAGGTATCTCTAGGTCTGATTTATAGCCAGACAACATAAAATTTAGTTCTCTCTGAGGGGAAAAAAATGTCTAGACCTCTAAAGAAATGCTATTTCTGACTAATATATTAGTCTTGTAGCTTCTGGAGAAAAATCAGGGGAGGTTTTATTAAAGCATGGTTTTCATAACTGCATTCTGAACAATACAAGCAGTAAAAATGATATATTGTTCTATTATAGTAGATTAAAATACTTTGTAACATGTTTATGATAAAATCAAATTTTCTGACTTAAAGGGCAAAACCATTCTTTAATTAAAGTGTAGAAATGTGTATGCATTAATTAAAAGGATGGATGAATTTGAAAAAAAAAACAACCCCAAACCTCTGTGTGCTTTGAATCTGAGCACTTTGATACTAAAAATATCAACCACTTTAATACTTAAAATATCAACCACATGTAAAATTCTGAGAACCAGAGCAGAGGAATATTTTTTCACCCTTTCCCTGTGATTTCTTTTCCTTCTGAGAATGACCTATAGCACATGCATCTTTGCATTGGTTTTGGCATTGGCTTTTTTTTGCTAATTCATTGTCAGTTTTAAATTTAAACTTGTAGTGTATCTATGCACGTCTACACAAAAACTCACGATGCACTTATGAAGGACCAGATCCAGGTAACAGATTATTATCAAAAAAGTTATTAAATGCAATGAAACTGATCACTACAGAGCAAGGTAGAACTGGAGCAAGATGACCATCATGAGTGGGGGTTAGAGTAGCACCCACACGAGTTGGTCAGGTCTTGGAGCAAAGAACTGAGACAGTACTGAAGTAGAGCCAAGGTGGAGAGAACTGGGCTAGAGGCAGGAGTCACAGGTAAGACTGATGCAGGCAGTAGGAGAAGCCTGAGGTAGATGAAGGTGTCCTGGAACAGTCAGTTTATGATAACTAGAAGTTAACTTAAGCATCAACCAGACAACAGGCTCCATCTTTAATGCTGAAATCACATTTCAGTTGCACATAAAGTAGCAATTATTCTTCATGCTTAACTGCCAACCCCCAGCACTCAGATCCCTTCAGTGAGTGGAGATCTTTCTCCTGAAATGCAAGATATTGACTTAATCATTATTTAAAAAACAATTCTTTTGTCCCTCACACATGTATGGGCATATTATTTAGAGATGTCCCTAAAATTATTGAGCTTTTTTTTTTTTTCCATAAATGCAAAGGCTAAAAACCATGAAGAGTGAAACTTGCCTTTCTCTCTTAAAAGAGTTAAAGGTTTGAGGAAATGATAGCTATTTTCAATAGCTGATCAATAATGCTGAGAGTTTATTTTTATGCATTTATGTGTATTTCTCACTCAGTTCAAACAGATAAATAAATTAGGGTTAAGATTCTTCACTAAATGTAAACCTAGTAGAAAATCAGTTAAAGCATCAAATCTTTCATCTATGTAACATAAAACTTTATTAGTCCAATGCACTAATTGAGTACTAACACTATTGTTGCTTTAGTGACATAGAATATCCTACTCCTCTTTAACAGAGCTAACCAGGTTGTGGCCTCACTGTCACAGCACATTTATATCAGGACTGAAAAAGAGATTTTGTACCTGAAAGCCTGTTGTTCTGGGTTTTCTCCCCCCAACTATATCTGTTTTTTCATTTGTCTGAATAAATACTAATATCTTTGGCTACAAATCTTCTCTTGCTTATATACTTAGATCATTGTAATTACATTACAATTACTTGATACTGTGATTGGCAGAAACCATTACGCCGCAACACACATTACAGAAATCCTCTCATTAATTTATAGAAGGATTTTACTTATCATTGAAACGTTTCATCTCTATGCAGTTACTATTTTTCATTTACCTAATGCAACCATGTAGCCTTCAAAGTTTTCATTGCTTTCCATTTCCCACGTCCCATTGTAGTCGGCAGGCATGGCGACGAGCTCAAAACCAACTTCAGCTCGAGAGGTGAGGCTGGAAACAGGATCTGCTATGAGAATGTTTTATAAACCTTTTCATATCTTTTTTTCTTAATAAGGTTTATGGTTTTCTAGATAATACAGTTTAAGGGGCAGAGTGATAACCCTGGAAACTTTGCCTTCATTGACAAAGTCCAGGTGAGCAGCTGGCAGGCAAGGAGCACTTCCTGCAATGTGCAGCAATACAAGGTACAATTTTACAGTGACCTTTGTGAAGAACTCATGGCTATTATGGGATACCTTTGAAATGCACTGAACACAGTGGCAAATTGTACAACCCAGTTAAAGTTTCCAAGGTGAATTCTCTTTTACAGCTCCTTTCTACGTGTCACTTTTCCCTGTGAAGAGGAACTTTTACAGAGCTGACACAGCCAGAACTTCCATTTAAAATTTATGAAAGTCTTGAATGTGCAACAAATGTAAGACAGGGTAGAAAAAGGAATATTCCTGTTCAAGATATTGTTGTTTTTCTTGATTCTGTACACCTTTGATTTTCTATACCTTGATTTTATTTACCTGATTCCTTTGATTTTACATACCAATAGCTGCACTTCTACCAACTATACTTTCATATTGTTTTTTTAGTTTAACAGCAAGCTTAGTAAATGTAAAGTAAACCAAAATCAATCATAATTGGTATCAATGCTGCCCTAAAATAATTTTTTAATTGCTCTGAAACATAGCAGTTTGTATCTGAAAGGTATTTCACATCCAGCAGCATTACATTGGTATAGGGAAAACCACAGATTTCAGTTGTGCAAATAAGCACATTCAGGATATGTCTGAATGGAGAATTGGAATGTGATGTTGAACTTTATCAGCACTTAAAGTAAGTACTAAAAACAAATTAATATAAGATAAAGTTTTACATTATGTGGCTTTAATCAGTCAAGATAATTTACAGATGGCTATACAGAGAGAATGATTGAAATGATCAGAAGTCCAGACCTCCTTGAACTCCTTGTCTACCTTTCCTTGTTTTTTTTTAAAATGGAAATGTTATTAAATATTTTACTAGAAAAAGTATTAAGGCCTAGAATTCCAACTCAAAAACAAGTTGTCATGTGTATGCCTTCATTTTGTTAAAATTTAATGTAAAATTCCACAGATTTATACAGGGATTAAAAAAAACCCTAAACCTAAAGAAAGCTGAGAGTTTCTGAGAGCTGTTCTTACAATGCCTTAACTTAAGGAGCTACTGTAAGAGAAGGAAAAGAAGTCTTTTGATCTATATTCATGAGAGATATGAAGAGGGTGTTAAATCAGCCACGAGACAAAGGCTCAAGGGACTGCAGGGACTGAAAGTTGAAGTCAGGTGAATTCCTGTGGGAATGAGGGAATACCCATAGGAAGGTACCTGCATTCTTGACTGTAGAGTTTAGTTTGTCTATAGACCACTTTACCCAGGGAAACTGGTAATCACTGACATGTTTACATAGCAAGGAGGTGGCTTTCTCAAAGATATGTCCCATTTCAAGCACAATTTATTGGGCTGAACACCTCTACTCATGTCTTTGTTTCCACTATAAGGAATTCTAGCTGAAACACCATGAATGATATTATGTTGAAAGTGAAAACTGAAAATCTGTAGTGATGCAACAGATTTAATTTTACATATTTCTGTGATTTTCTTTCTTAGCCTCCACATTGCATCAGCATTAATAAACACATCATTACTATTTATACATTTTATATATATACTAAAGGTTCTACAAAAACCAGACAAAGGAAAGGTTATCATCCCAAGTCAACCACTCACAACCACTCAAAATCAGCTGTGTAAGCACCATTGCTTCCCTTGAGCACAAGCATGACAATCTTTAAGTGCCTTTTCACGTTGTTTTTCCAACTGGAAGTTATTCTCTCCTTCAGTATACTGAAGGAATGATGCACAATTTGCAAGCAGGTACTCAGTGTTTTACCTTTTATCTCCAAATGCCTAGTGGTGGATTTATGAGAAAGGAATCAGACTGAATATCTACAATCACCTCCTGATATCTCACTCACGGTGAGAGATTTTACATGCTCATTGATTGCAGCTCTGAAGTGCTTTGCTTCCTATGTGGCAGTCACTTTGGTAATGATGAGCAGTAATTAATGTCCATTAACAACTGATGAAGTCACAGACAGTTATATTGCTGTAGATATGCAGAGCTAGGCACATTCAGAGAAAATTAATTATGAGATGAGTACATCCATTACATAAACCACCATAATTAATTAACAGCAAACACATGTAATTGTACAGATTTTCCCCATAAAGTTTTGGTTATGTTAATCCCTTTTAAAAATGTATTTATTTATTTTTATTTTCCAGTGTGTGTATTATGTAAACTTCATATTAGGAACTCTCTAAGCAGATGTTTATCCATCAGACTAAAACAGCATTTTGAGCCTTTTCATGTAAATATACAACTAGGAGGTTTACAGACACTAAATTTAACCAGCCAAAGAACTGGCTAAGTAGGGAATTAATAAAACATGAAATATTGACTTGACAGAGTTCTGTGATGCTTCATGAGCTTTTACAGAACGTTGTGTTAAGGTCCACAAAGAGAATTTTCAGTTTATGAATCAATATCTTGATGGACAGTAAAACCTGTACCACAGTCAAATGCCTTCCTAAATCAAGTGGTTCCAAGGTACAGTACCTCTAAGTCTTGGGTCTCTGCCTTACTAGTTACACTGACCTGCTCTCATCACATTTCAGCTTTAAAACTTTGACTTATTATCCCCTGGAGATCTTAGAAATCACTCCAAGTATATTTATTGTTTATATACTGCATACACAGAGACTAACTTTCAAAATGGCAAAACAATATTTCCTTCCCATGGAACAGGTCTACATTTGGAGAAATGAGGATAAGGTTCCCTCTCCTAATTGTCACAGCTATTTTGTTCTCAGCATCTTTTCCTTGCAAGAGCACCAGGGATGCCATGTATAGCATGTATGGAACACTAGGAATGATAGCAGGGAGGTGTCTTCTCCAGGTTTTCCAATGTGTATGTTAAAAACCAAAGCTCTGATCTCATAGCTTTTGTGTCATTTTTCAATGCAGGGATAAGTTTTATGGATGAATAGTGAGACCTTAGAAATAAAGCTAAGTATCTTACTTTTTTTTTTTTTTTTTTTTTTTTTGCTAAAAGCCTAAATAACTTTCTCAGTGTTCATTTGTGTGTGAAGAAACAGAGATGGTGTTCATTGCCTCTTTCCTGTGAATCAGTATTGATTAGTGGCAGTTTAAAAAGCCAATCTCATAGGAAGGGCCTAGACTGACAGGAGTGAGAAGTGAGGCCCAACTGCTGTTTCTGTGGAATGAGTCACCAGTCATGGATGCTACTTCTAACACTTGCCTCCAGTTCTTCTCACTGTGTCTGAAAAAAAACTCTATCTAGGGAGCTGACCAAAGTTCAGCCTCCTTGCTGTCTGCAGGAGCTGGTAGTGCATTCTCCTTGGGAAAGATCCTGCTGTAAAGCACTGGTAGGAGCACTACATAAAGCACAGAACAACCAGTCAAAGGCAATTTTTCCTGTAAACTTTTGGGCATGGTATTTTGCAGAGACAGTAACTTCCCACTCTGTCTCTGCTTCGTTTGATTTTTCTTTTAAATGATCTAATCTGCATATATAACACAGGAGAAAAATGCCTTGTACTCCCCCAGTCAGCCTCTACACTCCTCATGCTTGACAGCTGGGACTTTTGCCTATAGTTATTTGGTTGTTGTTTAACACATAGAAATATGGCAAAGCTGCCTAAGTTGCTCTTAGCAACTGAGTTCCCCTGAAGGATTCAGACAGAAGCAGCATGGTCACAGACACCTATTATTATTTTTAACTTGTTAGCACATGTGCACTCACTAGCTTTATTTTTATTTTTAAGAAAATTAATCACTCGAAATGTATTCAGTGACGGCTGCTACTGCAGGAGCTGTCAGAGGTGCTATCTCACCAGGCTCGGGGCTCTGTTCTGCACAAACACCAGTAGTCACTTTATGACAACCAGAAGCATGTTGGAAGGAGGCAATCCACTCCTTGTTGGGATGTTGCATGGCTTACAGGCCTTGGGGATCAGCTGGGTGAAGATAGGCATCAGCTACTGGGCAGAGACCCTACCAAGAATGGCAGGAGCAATAGGAGAGTCCTGTACAGCAGGAGAGGACAGAATCAAAAGGTGTTATGTGTGAAATGATCTCAACAAGTAGTATTTGATGTCCTATTTGTTAATGGTTGTCCTCCCCCAATATCCAGTGGCATAAACTACCGTGGATATCCCTAGCTGATAAGCTTTCTTACTGGGTCAGATACAACTTAATATAAGCAAACTTACCTTGGTGCCTTGGAGCCACAGTTTTGGCTTCTGACTCTTAAGCTTGTCTGTTTGTTCAGGCCTGGACCCGACACCGAAAGAATGAGAGTTTGATCAGTTGTACATGTAGCTGTTGGCTTAACATTTACTATTTGACATACCAAAATAGATATCTGCAGGAACAAACTTTTTGTTGACACCTTAGAGAAGGGAATTCCTTCATTCACATCTCAGTAGAGGAAGATGTCTGACATGTTGTTGACAAAGCAGTAGGGACAGTTTGCACACACTGGTAGGGTGAGGGTGTACATATAGTACACAGCTTGCAGTTATGGTAGTTTAGTACATTTTGTGTTTACCTTCAACTTAAACCAAGATGCACAAAAATATGGTTTTAATCACTCTCAGAAATAAAATAATGGGCTTTCAGCCATTGGATTTTTTTCTCTTTTTTTTTTTTTTTTTAAAATCAATGACTATCTGTCTTCAGTCATTCTTATCTCGCTTACTCCATCTGATATTGCAGATGGAGCTGGATGCAGATGTTACACACTTTATTAATTAGAAGCCTTGGCTTAGCTCTCTGAGACTTCATAATGTCACTAGTTAACATTTTACTGAGTTTGATATTAATAAAAAATGATCCAGTGGATCCTACTGGCTTGAGA